TGAAACATGTTCTAATGGGTGTTTACCAAGTTTGTTCAAATCAAAGCCCTGGGGTCAAAATTGGCCCCGCCCCAGGGGGTCATTGATTTTCCTTATATGTGTATAGCAAAAACTTAAAAAATCTTCTTTGAAAAAACCCAAATAGCTGGAGTTAAGATTTTAAGCATGAAACATCTTCTAGTGAGTGTCTACAAAGTTTGTTCAAATAAAAGCCCTGGGGTCAAAATTGGCCCCGCCCCGGGGGTCATTGATTTTCCTTATATGACAGTGTATAGCAAAAACTTAAAAATCTTCTTTGAAAAAACCCAAATAGCTAGAGTTTAGATATTAAGCATGAGACATCTTCTAGTAAGTGTCTACAAAGTTTGTTCAAATAAAAGCCCTGGGGTCAAAACTGGCCCCGCCCCAGGGGTGTCATTGTTTTTAACTATATGTGTATAGTAAAAACTTAAAAAATCTTCTTTTAAAAAACCCAAAGAGCTAGAGCTTAGATGTTTAGCATGAAACATCTTCTTATTGGTGTCTACCAAGTTTGTTCAAGTAAAAGCCACTGGATTAAAATTGGCCCTGACGGGGGGGGGGGGGGGGGCAGTAGATCATTTTTTTCATTATATGTGTGAAGTAAAAACTTAACATTGTAAAACATCTTCTAATGGTGTCTTCCAAGTTTGTTCAAATAAAAGCCCTGGTGTTTAAACTGGCCCCGCTCCGGGTGCCTTTATACACTTGTTATGTCTTTAAATTTATTTACTATAATATTACTTAAACCAGAACAGATATTTACTTGAAATTTATATGAATGGTTATTCAAATTATACAATTATGACACAAGTTATGCCCCTTTTAGGCTTAGAAAATGTTCTGTCAAGGACATTGGTGGGGGTATGAATCGCATTCAGCGATAGCTCTAGTTAAAATTGGAAAAATTTACATTATGAACTGTTAAACAGGTAAATTGCAAACTGTGAAAACTGTGAAACGGGTGCCCTTTTGATCAACTAGACCCCAAAGTTTTCACGGTTAATTTGCGATAATTGTTGACACACGTCCGATATAAACATTTGAACACCTGGTCAAGTAAAGGGCAAAGGTTTAATTTATGTTCTTAATTTAAATTTGAAAGTAATGACAAAAAATAAATCATTTCTCCTTTTGTTTTTCGATTTATTCGTATTAGTTTTTCAATGTTCGAATATTCGGTAGTGTTTTGAGTATTTGAATATAATTCCTGGCCCTAGTTATCTCAGATGAAAAACTAGGTCACAATAGCTAAAAAAAGAAAAAATTTGTTAACACTAGTGGCTACTGTTTTTATCCAAATGTCTTTGATGATTTCTAGGTCAAGTACAAATATGGGTCACCAGGGGTAAAAAACTAGGTCACACACCTCAAATATAGAATAACTTTTTTTAACGCTCTTGTGGTCACATTTTGAATCAATTGTCATATAACTTGGTCAGGATGCTTGTCTAAGTAATTGCTGTATTTGATGGGTCAGGTGAGCCATCAAGGACCATCTTGGCCCTTTTTTTTGTGCATTAAAATCTAATTGAGCATGATAATACATTAAAATTATGTCAGATTCCGTATTTAGGGTGGGGAAGGGAATGTTTTATCTGTCTCATAATGCTTTTTGCATGCTAGCTGTTTTGATGAAATCAGCAGGGCCAGCATTGAAATGCATATTTACAAAAAAGGTGCAAAATGGCACATTCTTGCATTATTTAATCCATTCAATTATGTTTTCTTGTTAATATGAACCTGCGTGTGCAGTTTTTATGAAAGCATTATTAGCTCACCTGTCACAAAGTGACAGGGTGAGCTTTTGTGATCGCTTTTCGTTCCGCGTCCATTCGTCGTCCGTCTGTAAACTTTTACTTTAAATGACATCTCCTCATAAACCACTAAGCCAAATTCATCCAAACTTCACAGGAATGTTCCTTTGGTGGTCACCTTTAAAAATTGTTCAAAGAATTTAATTCCATGCAGAACTCTGGTTGCCATGGCAACCGAAAGAAAAAACTTTAAATATCTTCTCTTGAAAAACCCCAAGAGTTAGAGCTTAGATATTTGGCATGAAACATCTTCTAATGAGTGTCTACTAAGTTTGTTCAAATAAAAGCCCTTGGGTCAAAATTGGCCCCGCCCCAGGGGGTCTTTGATTTTCCCTATATGCATAATTATAGTAAAAACTTAAAATATCTTCTTTTAAAGAACCCAAAGTGCTAGAGCTAAGATATTTAGCATGAAACATCTTCTAGTGAGTGTCTACCAAGTTTGTTCAAATAAAAGCCCAGTGGTCAAAATTGGGCCTGCCCCAGGGGGTCTTTGATTTTCTTTATATGCATATAGTAAAAACTTAAAAAATCTTCTTTTAAAGAACCCAAAGAGCTTGAGCTAAGATATTTAGCATGAAATATTTTCTAATGAGTGTCTACCAAGTTTGTTCAAATAAAAGCCCTGGGGTCAAAATTGGCCCCGCCCCAGGGGGTCATTGATTTTCCCTATATGCATATAGTAAAAACTTAAAAAATCTTCTTTGAAAAAATTCAAATAGCTAGAGTTCAGATATTAAGCATGAAATATCTTCTAGTGAGTGTCTACCAAGGTTGTTCAATTAAAAGCCCTGGGGTCAAAATTGGCCCCGCCCCGGGGGTCATTGATTTTCCATATATGACAGTGTATAGCAAAAACTAAAAAAATCTTCTTTGAAAAAACCCAAATAGTTGGAGTTTAGAATGTTTAAGCATGAAACATCTTCTAGTGAGTGTCTACAAAGTTTGTTCAAATAAAAGCCCTGGTGTCAAAATTGGACCCGCCCCAGGTGTTATTGTTTTTCCTTATATTTGAATAGCAAAAACTTAAAAATCTTCTTTGAAAAACCCCAAATAGCTAGAGTTTAAATATATAGCATGAAACATCTTCTAGTACTAGTCTACAAAGTTTGTTCAAATAAAAGCCCTTGGTTCAAAAATGGCCCGCCCCAGGGGATGTCATTGGTTCAGGCTTCGCGAAAGTTGCCGGACCGTCGGACATGTCCGGCAAAAATCAGGCCGGTCCGATATTTTTTTTCGGAGTTCCGGACCTTATGTCCGGTAGGAATACCGGGATATATCCAAGACCGATCATGACCGAGTTTTCTCCCTTGAATAAAAAAATGTAAAACGAGTTTTGATTCGCCGTTTCATTATAAGTGTCCGATACATACGACTGTCAATAACCAAAATGTCGGTGTTACTACATTATTACGCTGGCGCTACGCCCGGCAAAAATCGTAAACTATCCAATGAAGAAAAAAAAAGCGAAACAAAAGGAATACGAGTCCAGGCGGGGTTTGCCTAAAATACGAAAGTGAGATTTTCGACGAAAGTAAGCGAAAGTGACTTTTAAAATTTGAATTATACCGTTTTAATAGAATTTTACAGTAAAATTGCTGTTTGTAGACGTATATTATTAGCAACCAATTATATATATTATGATAAATAACCATAATCATGATTTAATCGCCATTTAGTGGCCTAATTTCTAAATATAAAAGTTTAGTTATCTTCCTTTCGCTTGCATAGAAAAATACGAAAGTGACAAACTACATGTATTAAATATAGAGTTTAAATTGAAAATGTACTAAATTTGTAGTTTGTAGACGTATATTATAAGAAATTAATATTAATTTCTGATAATATACGCCTGAAAAATGCAATATTAGTATAACTTTCAATTCAACCCTTTATTTCATATTTTACAAGTCACTTTCGTATTTTCAATGTGAGCGAAGGGAAGATTAAATCATCATAGTGATTATTTTTGAAAATAAATATTATATATTTCTGATAACATACGTCTACATTTTAGTACAAATTTAAATTTAAACTCTATATTCAATATTTTACATGTCACTTTCGTATTTTTCAAAGTGAGCGAAAGGAAGATCTCAGAACTTGTGTATAGAAATTATGCAAATAAATGGCGATTAAATCATCATAGTGATTATTTTTGAAAAGAAATATTATAAGTTGCTAATAATATACGTCTGCAAATAGCAATTTTACTGTAAAATTCAATTAAAACGGTACAATTCAAATTTTAAAAGTCACTTTCGCTCACTTTCGTCAAAAATCTCACTTTCGTATTTTAGGCATACCGGTCCAGGCGCCCGCCAAGAAAATTTGTGGGTAAATGGAAAAATGGCCGCTTCGATCATGAATGTTTTGATTTCCAAACAGAGTCCATCCACAGCCTCACCGTGCTTGAAACAAACTTTTTAAAGTTTTATATGGGCTTTAATTACTATATATCTTTATATACATAATTATATAGACTGGTTATGTAAAATATTTGAATATGTGACTAGCGCCTGTGAGTCCATCAATCTGGATAAACTAATGTTTTATTTAAGGGAATAAAATTGTGTTGCAAATCTTTAAAAGATGTTATGTCTTTAAAAAAAACACCAAGGTATTACCATATACATATATTTGGGGGAAAAAATTCGGTCAGACAAAGTTCTTTCGGTCAGACAAGAATTGAAAGTTTGTCTGACCGAATGTCAGGCAAATTTTTCAGCAGTTTCGCGAAGCCTGTTGGTTTTAACTATATGTGTATAGTAAAAACTTAAAAAAACTTTAAAAAAAACCAATGAGCTAGAGCTTAGATGTTAAGCATGAAACATCTTCTTATGGGTGTCTACCAAGTTTGTTCAAATAAAAGCCCTTGGGTTAAAATTGGCCCAGCCAAGGGGGGGGGGGCAGAAGGAGGGGGTAGATTGTTGTTTTTCATTATATGTGTGTAGTAATAACTTAACATCGTGAAACATCTTCTAATGGGTGTCTTCCAAGTTTGTTCAAATAAAAGCCCTGGGGTTTAAACTGGCCCCGCTCCAGGTGCCTTTATACAGGTGAGCGTCCTCGGGGCCATTATGACCCTCTTGTCATAATTCCATGCTTAGAGCAAGTCCTATGTTAATATTCCAGATATTGTAAAAATACTTTTTGTTCTTTCAGTGAAGATGAAAAGCCTGAAGCACCGGTATCAAGAGCTGCTACAGCAAAACAAGCAGGTCAGAAGGGACCTGAGACTGCCAAAAGATTGCATGAATCAAGCTCTAGTGATTCGTCTTCATCTGATAGTGATACTGCAAAACCTCCACCTAAAAAACAAGCCACAGTTTCCAAGCCAACAGCACAAAAGAAGGCAGAGTCCAGCTCCAATAGCAGTAGTGAATCTAGTGAAGATGAAAAGTCTAAGAAACAAGCCCCAGCTAAAACAGTAGTTCCCAAGCAAATGCCTAAAAAGAAAGCAGAAAGTTCTGAAAAGTCTTCAGGAAAAAAGAAAGTAACACCACAGGCAAAAACAAACAATAATGTACCACCTCCAGCAGAAAAGGCTACACCAGTCAAATGTGCTGTAAAGAAAGATTCGAGCAGCAGTAGTAGTGATGATAGTACAAAGAAAAAGGCTGTGCAACCTAAAACAGCAGTTTCAAAGCCAGCAGAAGTAAAAGCAGTTGCAAAGAAAGACAGTAGCAGCAGTAGTGACAGCTCAAGTGAAGATGAAGCCCCTAAGTTAAACCGTCTCCGGCTATACCTACTCCAGCAAAAGCAGCAGCAAAGAAAGAAAGTAGTAGTAGTGGTTCAAGGTCTAGTGAGGATGAAGCACCAAAGAAAGTGCAAACAAAACCTGCAAGTCCTAAAAAAACCACAGGCAGTTGTAACAAAGAAAGATAGCAGTGGCAGTAGTAGTGGCTCCAGTTCTGAAGAGGAAACCCCTAAAACAAAAGTTGCTGCTAAATCACCAGCGCCTGTTAAAGCAGCAGTGAAAAAGGCTGATGGTAGTAGCAGTGATTCCAGTTCAAGTGAAGATGAAACCCCAGCTGCAAAAAAAGTTGTGTCTCCTGCTAAAGTGGCAGTTAAGTCAACACCTGCTAAAAATGCAAAGGCAGACTCAAGTTCTAGTAGTTCTGATTCTTCAAGTGAAGAAGATGAGGCACCAAAGAAATCACCTGCTGTCACAAAACCAGTAACTCCTAAAGCACCTCCAAAAGCAGCTGCTAAAGATTCCAGCTCAAGTAGTTCTGATTCAAGCTCTGAGGTTGAAGCCACAAAAAAGACAGTACAATCTGTAACTCCAAAGGCTGTAGGTGGTAAACCAGCTGCTGCTAAAGCAAAAACCAAAGATTCAAGTTCAAGTAGTTCAGATTCTAGCTCAGAGGATAAAGCTCCCAATAAAGCTGCTGCAGCAAAATCTGTAACTCCAGCAAAACCAGCAACTCCCAAAGTTGCTGCAAATACAGAAGCCCCTAAAGCTGCAGTTAAAGATTCAAGTTCAAGTAGTTCAGAAGATTCAAGTTCAAGTAGTTCTGACTCCAGCTCTGAAGATGAAGCCCCTAAAAAGGCTACACCTGTTAAACCAGTAACTCCCAAAGTTGCTGCAAAACCAGTAACACCAAAAGCAGTTGCTAAAGATTCAAGTTCCAGTAGTTCAGACTCTAGTTCCAGGGATTTTTTTTGTCTTATTTTATAGTCGATATTCGGTCATTCCCAATCATTTTCATAGTATATTATTTTCCTAATCCACAGGAAAAAATTCCCAATTGAAAGTTACAAAATAAAAATATTTAAAAACAAATTCTAAAATCTTGGAAAATAAGGACTTTTTCACTGTTATGGTGTTTAATAGTTTGAAGATGCCTTCCTAGACAGTTATTCTTTGCATTCATTTAATCACTGCAAAATTTAAGTCATGCAATTTTTCCCAAATTTTAACAAATTATCGCTGAAATTCCCAATTCCATGGGTATGGCTCATGTTCCCATAATCCTGGTAAAAAACACTAGAGTTCAGAAGATGAAGCCCCTAAAAAAGCTGCATCTTCATCTTCAAATAAACAACAATCCCCGGTGTATCAAAATAAAAATGTTAGGACTCTTACTCCAAAAATTCACCAGGGTTTGTACAGTCTTAAAAAGTGCTTAAATTTGAGTCTCTTTCTTAAAAAGTGCTTAAAAATGTAAAAAAGTGCTTAAAAGTCCTTGAATTTGATTACTCTTTTGAAAAGTGCTTAAAAAGTGCTTAAATTTGCTAAAATGTGCTTGAAAATATTTGAATCACAGAATTACATAGTTTTGATAAAAATCAACGGTTAACAAAATAAAAAAAAAGATCCAATTTAGTATCAAAATCAATGAAATGTTTACTCAAGGTAACAGTAAGTGGACAAATTGCAGTTGTTTTGAACTAATCTGTATTTGATGCACCCTTTGTTGTTCTTGTATAATGTCAGAAAATGTGTATTCAACAAAAAATGGTGAACAAACTATCCATCATAGGTTGAAGATTGTGTCGGTATATGTGCAACAAATGTGCTGGAAAAATGGGAAAACGTGCTTAAATAGTGCTTGAAAAGTCCTTGAATTTTGGCATTTGATGTCTGTACGAACCCTGTAATCACAGATAAATAAAAAGGACAACTCAAGTAGTTAAGTGACTCTAGCTCAGAATCAGACGATGAAAATACAAAGACAGTGAATACCTCTAAAGTAAATAAATCCCAAAGTGTTCCAAATAAATCACAAAGTAAATCAGACTCTAGTTCAGACAGTGACTCCTCAGACTCTGACAATGAAAAATCTAAATCTGTTTCAAAATCACCTGGTTTAACACCAGTTATTGGTAAAACTAAAGCGGGGAAACAAAATGGTCCAGTAACTGCTACACAATATTCCAAGGTAAACGGGGATGCTGAAGAGAGTTCTGATGATTCAGAAGTTAGCTCAGGCTCACGTGAAGTTAACTCTAATAACAAGAATATTACCAGTCAGAGTAACAGTAAAACACAGAGAGTAAGTATTATCCTAATATATTCATTTGCAGCGTTTGTATAGATTTTTGATTATATTGTCAGCAGAAAAGTTTCAAAGATATTTTATACATTTTCTAGGCCTATTGCCACTTGTATTTTCATCAGGTTTAAAATACCCAAATAATATCTTGATCTAGCTTAACTTCTGCTATTGCCATAGCCTACTTGATGTTCATGATATTAAATTTTTATAATAAAGCATTGAAAACACAAGATAATTATGGGGATCCCGTGGCTGAGTAGTTATTTGGTTGCTGACTTAGTCACTTGCCCCTCCCCACTGTGGACTCAAATCCCAGCAAATACCTAAAATTCTTTCATATGAGTCCAGCTAGCTTATGGAAGGTTTGTGGTTCTACTGAAGTGCCTGTTAGTGCCTGAAATCATGCACAAAGGGGCTTCTGAAGTTTTCCTCCCGCAATAAGCTAGAAACTTGCCATATAAACTGTACAGTGTCATTTTGACTTAAATTCGAACAAAACCAGATTATCTGATTTGTATGGGGAGTTTGGGATAGAAGTCTGATAACTGGGTGTTATGATCATCTTTCTGTTTTATGTCAAATGCAAGGCTTTCTCTGTCATAATTGGTAAATTCAAGGGGAAAATATGTTGACAGTCTGTGAGCATGTAAACATTGATACAATGTTCACATCTCGGGTCATGTAATTGGATCAGTTAGTTACTGGGGACGGACATACATTCAGGCCTCGACATATCCACTTGCCAGCTTGCATTTGCGAGTAAAAGTTTAAGTTGGGGGCGTAAAAAATTGATCAAGCTGGCCGAGTAAGATTATCCAGATCCAAATGATGTTTCTCTAAACATTTAATAAAAATGAAGTTATTCTGTAAAAAAAACCATCAAACAACAGGCGCCATTTTAATAGTAATACTGTCAAGCGAAATCTGACCTTATGACTAAGTATAAAACTTTACCGGATGCGTATGATGAATCGATTCCATAAGAACAGCAGCATTCAACAACCTTTTATACATGAGCCGTGTCATGACAAAACCAACATAATGGGTTTGCGACCAGTATGGATCCAGACCAGCCTGCGCATGCTGTTCGCTATTAGTTTCTCTTGTTGATATAGAGTTGGTAAGCGAACAGCATGGATCCTGATCAGACTGCGTGAATGCACAGGCTGGTCTGGATCCATGCTGGTCGCAAACCCATTATGTTGGTTTTGTTACGACGCGGCTCACATATGCATTCAGAGTTATGTTTTATACTTAGCCATGAGGTCGATTTTTAAGCCTTGTGAGTTAAAATTTGAATGGAATAAGTATATTCTGATATAGACTGGTAATTAGCAAATTTGAGTTTTGTGTTTGATTTTTAATCAAAATGCAGGGGTAGTGCATTTTATGAAGAGCAAGTAAATTTGGAGGGTCACTGGCCCTAAAAAAAATCAGTGAGGCCTGACATTGAATGTAATTAATTAAGAAATGAATTCTTAGATGAACATTGAAAAAAATATTATGGTCCTAAATTCCTCTGGACATTGGAGAAAGAACTTGTACAAGTAAACAATTATTTGTAACAAAATTACCAATGAGTAAGTGCAGCATTGTTTGAGTGCTTTGGTGTTAGGTATTAATAAAAACATTATTCTGAACTAATTGACATGATCTATTGATGGTAATTTTAGAGAAGGAGCAGTCCTTTTAGACGTGTAAGGGAGGAGCAAGTTGAAGTAGATGAAAGTTTGAAGGATAATTCATTTACTGCGAAGGTGAGTTTAGTAAGCATACTGTACTGACTTGATTTACCATCAGTTAAAGATGGGGGAAAAAAGTTACAAATTCAAATATAAGTTCTTTGATAAGTTTAGCCATCATTGATTGTCAGAATATGTGCAGATTATTAATTGCAATTTCAGACTTTGTCTCATAAAAACATCTGAATTATAACCATGATATAAAATGCTGATAAACAGTCAAAGACCAGGGGTACGTATTTGATACAGTATATTGCAAATTTAAACTTGTGTGACATTGAAAAGGTGATAGTTTTGCTTTATGCTCAAATTATAGGTAATTTTGACAATATTGACATAATATGTTTTGCCAATAATGTATTTTGAAATAAAGTTGTTCAGAACCTAAACTTCTTGAGGATAACAAAGTATCTGAGGCAAAGTTTATACATTAAACGTCACGTTTGACATGGTATTAAATTTTATTCTTTTGTCTTGAAAGTGTCTTTCAATAAATTGTGCACCATTTCATTTAATGATTTTTAGCTTAACTAATTAAAGAATACGGAGAACTGTTGTACTCACGGCGGAGTTAATTTTATGTGCAAATCTTCAAAACTACTGAAAGGAAATTGCCATATATGTATTTATATCTCAAAACACAGTGTTTGATGTTAATCATACTGGATATATTTAGTATCAGCTGGTTAAGTGATCGCCCTTTCCTTTAGTTACTCCTTTTGTTATAAACGTATACAGCTTGAAATTTTTACATTAAATTGTGACCAATACAGGAGTTGAAGTCCCGGAGTTTTTATGCATTCCCTTTGACTTTGCAAAATTCTACTGTCCTTTGATTTTAACAATGATTGCCCTTGCAGAACTTTCTATATTATCCAGGCTCTTGTTTTAGTATTGTGCAGAAAAATGTCAAGCAGACAATACTATTGATGGCTTTTGTTCATTTTGCCAATGATGTTTTATATTAAAGGTTGTTTAGAACCTAGATTTCTTGAGGATGATCTGAATATCTGAGGCAAAATAGCATTGTTGTATACATGATATATCTATTATAAACAGTATTTGAGCTTTATTGTTGGACCACTTGAACCTCACCGGAGTGTTTCATAATAACTTGTCAATGACTTTGTTTTCATGAAAGAGTAGCAAAGTCTAGCAATTTAATAAATTACGCAAACATAATGTTTTGCATATGTGATAATAAATTTATTGATACTGTGAGAAGGGGGGCATCCATGTCTGAGAGGTTATTAACTACTTGCCCCTCACTACTGTGGGTTTGAATCCTGCCTTTGACTTATGACTCTTTCATAGGAGGCAGATAACCAGCTAGCTTACAGAACGGGAGTGGTTTTACCCGTGTGCCTGATATAATGCAAGGAGGGACATCGTAAGGGCTTCCTCCACCAGTAAAGCTGGAGAGTAGCCATATGCACAGACACTTGGGGTTTGGAGCTCAAAACGCCTTTAAAATCCAAATAAAATGCATATTTGTCAATCCCAGCACATGCACTGATCATATATATGAAAAAACTTAATATAAGCCGTTTTGAAAAAATTTCATATTTCAACATCTATAATAATACACAAGATAAAAATGTTCGCCGGAAGAAATCTGAACCCTACCGTCATAATCACCATGTATTTTATTCCATTTCCAATATTTTCACATAATTCTTTGGTCCAACGACACAAAAGATATAATTCTTCACGATGATGGTCAATTTTAAACTACAACGGTAATATAAACAATGCAACAGCTGAAATAAACATCAAGATTATCGCCGTTTTCCTCCATTTACAAAATCTTTCGATAAATTCAAACGTGACAGTCGGCTATGAACGAAGCCATCCGATTATTTGGTTGCCAAACTTAAAAGCGCTGCGCATTTTGCACACGGCAAAGCTGGGGCCAGGTTTGAATTTATCGAAAGATTTTGTCAATGGAGGAAAACGGCGATAATCTTGATGTTTATTTATTACACCAATTTGTCGGACAGTAACGTCATCATATAAACGCCCGATGACATAAGTATATACATGTAGATAAAGATAATTTACAAGAAAGTGTTAATTAGATGATAAGTGGGTCGACTTAAGTGGTCATTAATTCTCTAAATGTAACATAACAATTCACGTGTCAAAAAGGTAATTTATTGTGTCGCCTTCAAAAGGTGACATATAGGGATTACTTGTGTCGGCGGCGTCGGTGTCGGCGTCCCCTAAAGCTTGTCCGGAGCATATTGACTCAGTCACTTTAAGTCTGATTGACTTCAAACTTGGTATGCTAGCTTCTTTCAATAGCCTGAAGTGCAGTGCACAAGGACCGGTACTCTGCACTTCTTAATTTTTGAGTTATTGCCCTTTGTTAATTTTCATACTTTAATTTTGTCCGGGCCATTTCTCTTCAACTATAAAAGCTATGGACTTGAAACTTCATAGGATGATATATCTCATTAAGAAGAAGTGCAGTGCACAAGAACCGGTACTCTGCATTTCTTATTTTTTGAGTAATTGCCCTTTGTTAATTTTCATACTTTATTTTTGTCCGGGCCATTTCTCCTTAAGTATAAAACTATGGACTTGAAACTTCATAAGATGAAAGATCTCATGCAGAAGAAGTGCAGTGCATAAAAACTGGCACTCTGCATTTCTTAGTTTTTGAGTTATTGCCCTTTGTTAATTTTCATACTTTATTTTTGTCCAGGCCATTTCTCCTAAAGTGTAAAAGCTATGGACTTGAAACTTCATAGGATGATAGATCTCATTAAGAAGAAGTGCAGTGCACAGGAAGTGTTACTCTGCATTTCTTATTTTTTGAGTTATTGCCCTTTGTTAATTTATATACTTTATTTTTGTCCAGGCCATTTCTCATAAATTATAAAAGCTTTAGACTTGAAACTTAATAAGATGATAGATCTTATTGATAAGAAGTGCAGTGCACAGAACCTGCAGCTCTGCATTTCTTATTTTTTGATTTATTGCCCTTCGTTGATTTCAAATTTCATTTTTGTCCTGGCCATTTCTCCTAAACTATATTGTTCACAAGGTGACACATCCGACTCGCGGAGTTCTAGTTTTAAAGACAAGATCAACTTTGCTTGTCCTGTATTAGAGAATGTGACTTCAAATATAGTCTATTATTCATTTTTTATTTAAATCAGACGTATTTAGTTATAATTTCATAGGTTTTTATAAATTTCTTCGGTTAAAATATTTTACTCAAATATGAGCATAGTATATCTTTAATGTTCTGTTGTACTAATCAGAGCTATCTTTGACTTATAGTTTATAGTAGATGCTAGCTGATCTATCTGGCTCTGTTAATCTGTCTTTGCTAGGTGCTGAGCTCTTCACTGGCAGGCCAAAAACCATTCCAATATCTGTTCCCATGCCAACAGGGGTTCCAGCCCCGTCTCCTCAGGATGTTGCTTTTGCTAATCAGATGTTGAAAAATGCCTACCCCCACCAAGTCACCAGAGTGAGTATTATTCTTGGGCTAATTGTGACACTAATTGTCATTTCTGTTTTGACTCAAAGAGCATTGAAGTTGCAGCAATGTAATAATGAAAGGGCCCTCAGTTTATGAATAATGAAAGGGCCCTCAGTTTATGAATAATGAAAGGGCCCTCAGTTTATGAATAATGAAAGGGCCTTCAGTTTATGAATAATGAAAGGGCCCTCAGTTTATGAATAATGAAAGGGCCCTCAGTTTATGAATAATGAAAGGGCCCTCAGTTTATGAATAATGAAAGGGCCCTCAGTTTATGAATAATGAAAGGGCCCTCAGTTTATGAATAATGAAAGTGCCCTCAGTTTATGAATAATGAAAGGGCCCTCAGTTTATGAATAATGAAAGGGCCTTCAGTTTATGAATAATGAAAGGGCCCTCAGTTTATGAATAATGAAAGGGCCCTCAGTTTATGAATAATGAAAGGGCCCTCAGTTTATGAATAATGAAAGGGCCTTCAGTTTATGAATAATGAAAGGGCCCTCAGTTTATGAATAATGAAAGGGCCCTCAGTTTATGAATAATGAAAGGGCCCTCAGTTTATGAATAATGAAAGGGCCTTCAGTTTATGAATAATGAAAGGGCCCTCAGTTTATGAATTTTGTTGCTGGCATTTGGCACTAACAATTTTCGTTTTATGTTGTTACAGCAAAGAACACATTTTGTAACGATTTAACAGAAATTTATCATTTGGCTTGTGGAATATTTAAATTTATCATTTGGCTTGTGGAATACCGTATAAGTACTTTTTTCTGCGGGAACTTTATTTCTGCTATTTCTGCGGTTCATAACGACACCGCAGATTAAAAAACTGCAGAAAATTAAGCCTTTCCCTATTGTATATGTCGGAATATGTCAACTACCAGTATTGTGTACATTACATATACAGTACTATGTACTGTTATCGGCTTTTGAAAATGGGATTTTTCTTAATGTATCAGTTGTGAATATATTATTAGAAAAAAATGTTACTTTGTTCTTTTTGTTTAAATAAATGTCATGTTTATATGATTTTCGTTCACCCTAAGCTTGATTTGTTTTTGTAAAATAAAACTGTTATAGTTTGACAGGTGCAATAAACATACCCTTTTTGCATTTGTACAATATCTTGTGTCTTACGTGCGATTTTGCCATTGTTTATTTTTCACACTTCAAATTTATACACATACAATTTTACAATTGTTATTATTGCACGTTTTTTTTTTTTTTTTTTTTTTTTTATTATTAACGCGTATATACCGATACAATATGATTATGACAAAAACACTTTATCTGTTGTCTTCATGTTAACTGGAAGTTATGTATATGTAACATCAACAAATCTTGAAATGTTGTTTGTTTGTATCGGTTAATTTTGTAAAAAAAATCTTTATTAAAACGCAGAAATATAAAGCATCAATGCGAGAATGATGACACCGCAGAAATAAGATACTCAGAAATTTAAAACCCCTTATTTCAACAGAAATCGCAGAATTTTAAGCCCGCAGAAATAAGTACTTATACGGTATCAAATTTATTATTTGGTTTGTGGAATATAGCAATTATCATTACTTTTTGGCTTGGGAAATATCAGAATTTAATCATTTGGAGTTGTGAAATATCAGAATTTACCAGTTGGTATGTAGAATATCAAAATTTATCATTTGGCTTGTGAAATATCTAATTTTTCATTTGGCTTGCAGAATATCAAAATTAACCATTTGGCTTGTAGAAATATCAAATTTAGCATTTTGCCTTTTGGAATATCACTTGAGGAATATCAAAATTTACCATTTGGCTTGCAGAATATCAAAATTTAGTATTTGGTTTGTGGAAAATCAAGATTTGATCATTTGGTCCTGTGGAATATCAAAAATTTTCACCAAAATTTTCCTTTTGGCTTGTGGAATATCAAAATACAAATGTATATTCATTTGAGCTTGTGGAATATCAAATCTTTCATTTACAAATGCCAAAAACAGGAGAACTTCTGCACTTCCTGTGAACTTAAAATTTATTTATTTGTGAATATTTAACAAATGAGGTCTCTTTTTTTTTGCTAGGGTTAGGGTTAGTTTTAGTGAATATCCAAAAGATATGTACATTTCTAATGTACTAATTACATAATTCCAGGTGCATGTATAAATGATAGTCTTCAATATTATTTTTTAGACGCCATATTATCTCAAACTAAAATATATAATACATGTTTCTGCTTAACAATATAAATATGTGTTTATCTTCTAGTAAGTAAAATAGAGACAGCTTGATTTACCAAGTCTTACTATGGATATTTTTATATATTATTGCACCATGTAAGTAATGAAATTTAGATTTCAACAACTTCCTTGTTGTATAAATTACAACAAGGTGATTTAAGCTGAATTATAGCAGAAATTATTATAGATATAGTTACATTTGTTCAAGTATTTTGCTTCACTGGAAGGTGTGTCACAGTAGAACAACAGTAAAAAGTCCTTTAAAAAGGGGGGGTCGGTGGTCTAGTGGTTAAGGTGTCTGTCTCTCAACCCAGAAGTCATTGGTTTGAGCCCTACTCTGGGTCACAACCATGTTTCTTCATATGACACCAGTACTGATTGGTTCCAGGAAGCGGACTCAAAAGTGATAAATATATGTTGCAAGAACTTGTTTCGAAATCGAGCTTAAATAAATATGTTTAAGCCAAAACGTCCTTTGGCATTTTTGGTCACAATTTGAGAAAAGGGGCATTTTTACATTGTGAGAAAGGAAAATTAAAAAACAAAACAACCAAAAAACATTCTATGCATTATTAGTTATAAAGATTTTTGACAGGTTATATTGGCCCTATAAAAATGGCTGTTTGAAAATATATTGCGAACAACCGTTTATATACGGTCATATAACCTGTCGGGAATATTTATAACAAATTTATAATACAGTAAACTTCCTTTTTTTTGCGAAAAATGCGAAATTTCTTAGAAAATTGACAGCAGCCGTGTATAAAATTTTTTATAATACTGCACGTTTGTAACGTCACTCTTCACTGGATAATCGTGACGTTTATATAGTTTTATATACACGGCTGCTGTAAATTTATAAAGAAATCTCATTTTTTTCTCTGAAAAGGGCAGTTTGCAGTATTATAAATTCGTTATAAAGATTGTTGACAAGTTATATGGCCGAATATAAACGGTTGTTTGCAATATAACCTTGCTTTGCGGCTCGGGTAATATATACACACAACCGTTTATATAGGGCCATATAACCTGTCAAGAATCTTTATAACTAATAGTATAAATGCCACAATTATCCAATGAAAAGTGACGTTACAAACATGCAGTATTATAAATGTTGACAAACATGTATATAACTTTTTTGTTGCAGTGGCTGAGCAGTTTTTCCATGCTGCAAGTTACGGTCCACCACCCCCTGTGACTAGCATGCAGACAGTATCCCAGTAATAGTCTACTCTAGGCAAGACAGGATAAAATACCTCAGACATTTAAAATCCAGGGATGATGTGGACTGAAAAATATCTTAAATTTCAGCTGAAAAAAGCATATATATTTTGAAATTGATGGAGATCATATTGAAAGAGTTATTTTTAAGTAAGCTGTGATTTTTACAAGCATGTTGCCTTATTATATAGTGACTTGTCCAGGGATGATGTGGACTGAAAAATATCTTAAATGTCAGCTGAATAAAGCATATACAAATGTATATTGAAATTCATGGAGATCATATAATATATATTATATTAACACTGTTAACATGCCTCAGGTTTTAAAGGAAAAAAAAAAGTTTTAAGTATTCATTTTAGTATTTATTTTCTTTACAAAGGCCATAAAACATTGTCTTTAAAGGGACTCCACTGAGGTTTAAAAGCCTTAAAACATAACATTTAAATTTTTTACATAAATGAGCTGTGACACTTTAAACAGATATATATGCAAAGATAGGTAAGAAATATACTTTGAAATAAATTGAAAGTCGTATTTTTATGCTTTTCATAGTCCAATTTGAGTAAAAAGCGTTTAAACGCTTTTCATTTTGGGTCATTTTTTCACAATTTGAATAATTATTCTGGAAAAACAAAGTGCGCGAATGATCTGAAATTTTGCACAAAGATTAGTGGTATAAACCTACATCAACTGGCACATTTATCTGGAAAAAATATTTTCAGTCCCATCATGTCAAACAACCTCAGTGGAGTTCCTTTAAGCAGTTGAAGTGATATTTCATTGATAAGAATTTTAAAAAAGAAAAATAAAAAGTATTATTTATAAATTTTCACATATATTAATTATTAAAACTCAAAAGATCTTTTCTTGTATGCAAGATTTCACTTCAATTTTTACTATTTTATATGCATGTTGCATATTAAAGTGTAGGTAAAGCTTTTGCCATGACTTAAAGTTACAGTGCTTGTGTTTTTACCAACTGGGTTGTTACAGAAAAGTGATCTTTAATTCCTAGGTTGTAAATTTTGTTTAAATGTCTATTATTTTTATTTTGTGTTTTTTTTTAGAAACTTAAAACTTAACAGAAATGTTAATGAAAGTTTGTTATGAAACGTTTAAGTGTTTTTTCATTGCTTTATATAACCTAGTATTAAGCAGTTATTAATGTTTGTAAAGGTTTCCTTGATTTGTGAAAATACAATTAATGTTTGTAAAGGTTTCCTTGATTTGTGAAAATACAAAGTTTTTTGTTTTTAACTGTTGTTTTTTCCTCTCTCATCTTATTTTATCTTAAGTATCAAAATACATACAACTATTATAATGCACCAACCCCATTTTTGAAAAAAAAAACACATGTGTTTTCTGATTTTAAATATGCAAGTTATCTTGTGACAGCTGCATGCATTCAAGTGCAATCATATTTTTAATACACAAGCTTAGTTATATTGATGTTTATTTTTTTTTCCCAAAGTTGCGTTGAAGGAAAAGCTTTCATGTAAGGAAGGTTTTTGTTTTCATTGACGCATCATTCATGCTATACTGAAACTTCCTGAATTAACTTTTATGTTTTATTTTCTATATTGAAACATTGTTATTTTGTTTTTGTTTTCATTCATATCAATATATATAGTTTTTCCTTTTGTTTTTGAGTCATATATAAGAATATTATACATATAAAATGTGTTTGAACACTCATTGGCTAAATAGGAAATATAAAGAAAAATAATAAAAAAGAATGTGATAATGGGTCATAGTATGGCAAGTTATTTTACACCACTATCACTTTCTCTACTTGTAATAGGGTTAGTAGGTGAACAGCATGGATCCTGATCAGACTGTGCGGATGAACAGACTGGTCTGGATCCATGCTGGTCACAAACGCACTATGTTGGTTTTGTCATGGCGCGGCTCAAATTTGATTCACATCTGATTGGATTTATGAACGTTTTGTGCCAAAGTTGAGAGAAATAGCACAAATTTTCAATAATAAAAAGCTCCCAGAACAATAAATAAAAAAATATGTGTTTGTAGCTTAAAACAATTGTTAATTCCTTGTAGATATTTTAACCTTTTGCCTTCTGGTGGCAACGGATTCTACCCATGTAACCAACATCATGATGTTGGAACTCAGTTCCCTCAAATAATTTGTATATTTGACCTGGAACATAATTTTCATTGAACTGTTTTTACTATTTTACAAGTAACAGCCTTGATCTATTTCTTAAGATGAGATTATTGGAAAAAATAAGCAAATTACACCTAGAATGTTTATATGTCATATGCTTAAAAAGTTTAGGTTGTAAAGAGAATCTGCACTGTTTATGAAAATTTTCCAGATAAAAGTTAGAATCTTAAAACAGTGTTATCAATTTCGAAAATACTTTCATTTTTTTTCCTCCATTTTATGTCTATAAAACGAAGTCATTGGCAGTTGAGTTTGTTTGTCGAAATTTTGTGCCAATTTTCTAGTTGTGCTGTTCGAGTTTGTTTGTCAAATTTTGTGCCATTTTTCCATGTATGAAATAGGGATATTAAATTTTTTAGTGTTGATAAATATGTTTCATTTACACACATGATGTTAGCAGTACTTGGGTTTTTAGACTGAAATCCTTAACATTTGAATGAACCAAGTACTGAGTGTAAGATAACTTTATGTATATATTTTATGATGATCTAGACAGAAAACTGAACCATTTGTGTATAAATGAAACAGATTTTAAATTGGAAGCTGATACTGTTTATAGCTGGATACCGGATTAAGGCTGAAAAAGATGTCAAAGGATAAACAATTTTAGGACTAGGTACCAAACTTGTAATGAATTTGGAAAAGATTCTAGCATTGTAAATATAAATTTGAAACAATGACTTATAAATATAAACTTTCAAACAATGACTTATGTTTATAGAACTTAAAAATTAAATTTGACTGGTATGAAATCTTGACTTATTTAGGAATGTTACTAGAATTATGGAGATATATGATGGTATGGTACCAAGCTTTGGAGTGAAAGGGTACCAGTGTTTCCAGTTATATAATATACGGTAGTATGATACCAAGATTTAAGGTGATAAAGGGTACCCGAGTTTCAAGTAAATAGTATGATACCAAGCTTTGAAGTGATAAAGGGTACCCGAGTTTCAAGTAAATAGTATGGTACCAAGCTTTGAAGTGAAAGGGTACCAGAGTTTCAAGTAAATAGGATGATACCAAGATTTAAGGTGATAAAGGGTACCAGAGTTTCAAGTAAATGTTTGGTGACAAACCTAGTGTTAAGGAAAGGGTACCAGAGTTTGTTAAAAAGAATCAAGTCTTAAAACTAAATGATTATGTCTGTGACAGATATGAGATTTTGCTGCTGTTTTCAGTAGTAACTTTTATCTTTTACACATGTTAACTGTTACGTTGTTTTTTTTTTTAAAACCATACTCAGCAATAAGGTTTTATAATTGCACAAGAACATGTTAGTACATGTATTATACTTGATTTAAACAAAATATACAGCAATGTAAATTTGCATGGAAAAAGCTTTATTACATAGTGTGTTTCTATATTATAATCGTGCTTGATTTTTGAAAAGAATACATAATGCAGTAGGGAATTGAAATCTTGATTAAAAAGAAAAAGTAAGAAATTAGCTTATTTATTTTTTAATTATTATTTTTTTTTGTATCATGCAGAGCTAAATTGATCACTGAATGTATTATTGTCTGATTATATGGTTTAAAAGATTATGATTAAAAGTGAAAACTGGAAATGAAAATGAAGAGATTTTTTTATCCGTGATTATGTATAAATTGGCCCTGTTTACTCTTGTGACTTGTCAAGCCACTTTTTTTTCAACTTCCTTTTACCCAATATTTTAAGGATTAACATTTTGTACAGATGCCAGTTTTTATTTAAGGAAATCATATACCGTATATGGTCATTGACGGAAGGGACTACCACCATGAATGGAGCCTGTGGTTTGAATTGTGACTTGATAAAGGGAAAAAAATAAAGGAATAATCAGGAATGTCCAATGCGCTTATTTTTTTAATGACCGCAGTTTTACGGTTGTCTTAAGCATTTCATTGGAATGCATTATATTTCCTTAGCAACATCTAAGTTTTGTAGGTCAGTGCACAGTCCAACCAAGTCTGCAATTTTACAATTAATTTTGCTGTTTTTAAATATCACGCAATAATTGTAGACAGGGCCAAATGAATTAGTCAGTTAATTTTTTAATGGAAGGAAGGTGATATTATTTGCCTTTGCTGTAGTCATAGATTTGCTGGTGTGAACATTTCAAACGTTAAATTCAGGGTAGCATTGGGACTAGTTGATTTATGTTAGACCTCGTTAAAGTAACTCTTGCCATTTTGATTTTAGCACTTGATTTTATTAGTCATTTTTATGTTGATTTTTACTTTGATAACTTTTGTTTTAGATGGTTTATAAAGACTATTCCATTATCTTTTGGTGTTTGTAGTAAAAAATAAGATAAGAAATGGTTAAAATTCAATTGAAGATTTTTCGGGGGAGGGGGTGTTTGTGTAGGTGGTTGGGTTAAGGTTGGGAAGGTGGGTGGGAGTGTTTTCTTAATAAAGTCATAATGGAATCGTCTTTGTAAACATCATAGGTAGTTGTTTTTAGTATTTTATTTATATGTAATCATTTGTAAATTAAGGGATTTTGAAGCATTTCAGTAATAATTTTTGATTCATTGTATAATTATGTTTTCCTGTAAATCTCCTCTTTATTTGACAATCTGTTGGATAATTTTGTTGAAATGCAGTGCTTATATAACTATTTGGCGAGGGAAATTTATGTTTTACTTATTGAAATCTTAAATCATGTTCATTATCTGTAATTATTTTGTGACTACACATAGTTGCATGTGACTTATTAAGGTTGTGATTAGAAAGTTGCCCTTTCTTTAACATGTGAAACTACAAATTATATGTGCTAAGACAGTTGCCCTTTCTTTAACATGTGGAACTACAAATTATATGTGCTAAGACAGTTGTCCCTTCTTTAACATGTGGAACTACAAATTATATGTGCTAAGACAGTTGCCCTTTCTTTAACATGTGGAACTACAAATTATATGTGCTAAGACAGTTGCCCTTTCTTTAACATGTGGAACTACAAATTATATGTGCTAAGACAGTTGCCCTTTCTTTAGCATGTGGAACTACAAATTATATGTGCTAAGACAGTTGTCCCTTCTTTAACATGTGGAACTACAAATTATATGTGCTAAGACAGTTGCCCTTTCTTTAACATGTGGAACTACAAATTATATGTGCTAAGACAGTTGCCCTTTCTTTAACATGTGGAACTACAAATTATATGTGCTAAGACAGTTGCCCTTTCTTTAACATGTGGCACTACAAATTATATGTGCTAAGACAGTTGTCCCTTCTTTAACATGTGGAACTACAAATTATATGTGCTAAGACAGTTGCCCTTTCTTTAACATGTGGAACTACAAATTATATGTGCTAAGACAGTTGCCCTTTCTTTAACATGTGGAACTACAAATTATACATGTATGTGCTAAGAAAAATCATCTGTGAAATCACCTGTTGCCAAAAGAAAAAAAGTGTTGTTGAATTTTTTTTTTTATCGTAATGATGACCAGTCAGTTAGTACATACTGGACACATAGACTCCTCAAAATTTACAAATATTTTCAACATTTATTAATAAACATATAACCTTATTTATAACTTTGATTGTATAATTCAGGTTTGTGAAAAAATGGTTATTTGTATGAACAATTGTTATTAGAGTGAAACAAATGAGCCGCGTCATGACAAAACCAACATAATGGATTTGCGACCAGCATGGATCCAGACCAGACTGCGCATCTGTGCAGTCTGATCAGGATCCATGCTGTTTGCTTACCTACTCTATTACAAGTGGAGAAACTGACAGTGAACAGCATGGATCCTGATCAGACTGCGCGGATGCGCATGCTGGTCTGGATCCATGCTGGTCGCAAACCCATTATGTTGGTTTTGTCATGACACGGCTCAAATTATTATTAAGGTTGAATTGTGTGTAATGCACTAAGGTAATACTTAAAGGAAGATTATCCATATATTTAGATTTATAACTTGAATGGAGATAATCAAGGTATTAAGATTTTTTTACCTGAAGGGAAATAATCAAGGTATTAAGATTTTTAACGTAAAGGGAGATAATCAAGGTAATAAGAGAATCCAAAACCTTTTATGATTTTGGAAGCAACACATTTAGTTATAGGTGATAATGAAATTTAATATACAATGTACTTATAACTTATAAGTCCCATAATTTTGCCATTTTATGAATTTAATAAGCTTCCTATATTTTTCATCATGTCTTAAAACAATTAATGTTCAATGTATAATTACGAACTTCTGAATTCCGGAAACTTCCAAATTCTGAACTTTTTGGCTAGTCCCACAGGTGTTCGGTTTTCAGAAGTTACACTGTAACACTTATTAAATTAAGAAGGACCTAACCTGTTACTGCACTAAGGTGACTAATATTCTTTTCCTCATTAAATATAACTGAAATTTGAAGTCACATTTTCATGTTTAATAGTTATTCAAGTTACTAGTGGAATGTAGCCTAAATGAGGTTAATATGACCAGAGAGCATAATGTCACTTTAAAAATATATTTTACATTACCTTCAAACTATAGCATAATGTCACTTTAAAAATATATTTTACTAATAGTGTTTATTTTTCCATTATTGTCTTTTACTCAGATTTGCATAATATTGAATAAAAGTTGTTATGTACTTGTCAAGCTGTTTGCCATATGATTTGTAATTGTTCCATATTTTATTAAAACAACTAAACAGATAATGAATTTGTTTGAATTACTCTTTAGCTCACCTGTCACAAAGTGACAGGGTGAGCTTCTGTGATCGCTTTTCGTCCGTCGTCCGTAAACTTTTACTTTAAATGACATCTCCTCATAAACCACTAAGCCAATTTCATCCAAACTTCACAGGAATGTTTCTTAAGTGGTCACCTTTGAAAATTGTTCAAAGAATTTAATTCCATGCATAACTCTGGTTGCCATGGCAACCAAAAGAAAAAACTTTAAATATCTTCTTCTAAAAAACCCAAAGAGCTAGAGCTTTGATATTTGGCATGAAACATCTTCTAATAAGTGTCTACCAAGTTTATTCAAATAAAAGCCCTGGGGTCAAAATTGGCCCATCCCCAGGGGGTCATTGATTTTCCCTATATGCATATAGTAAAAACTTAAAAAAATCTTCTTTTAAAGAACCCAAAGAGCTAGAGCTAAGATATGTAGCATGAAGCATCTTCTAAGGGGTGTCTACGAAGTTTGTTCAAATAAAAGCCCTGAGGTCAAAATTGGCCCGCCCCAGGGGGTCATTGATTTTCCCTATATGCATATAGTAAAAACTTAAAAAATCTTATTTTAAAGAACCCAGATGCAATTGAAAATGACTCAACCAGCTTGAACCGGAAGTGTTTCGCCTTTGCCAGTTACTAGTATAGAGTACCTGTGCTTCCTTACATTCTGATCAGGTTCTACACTGTTGGGGGCTAAATTTTTGTTGTATTTTGTTATTGAAATCCCTGAAACTATGAATGAACTGTTCCAAATATGAAACTTTAAATGAACTGTACCAAATTTGAAACTTTGAATGAACTGTTCCAAATATGAAACTTCGAATAAACTGTTCCATTGCATAAATTTAGCCAGTCAGGGATCTATGATGGAAATACAAAAGACATACTCCATTGAACAGTTTTGTAAATACAGACAGCAAAATATTGCCGAAAGAAGATTTTACGATTATAGTCAAATATTTTTTAAATCCCTTGTAAAATCTGATACTGTAAAGTCTGATATGCTTTCTGTAACATACAATTACCAAACTTCTACCACAAAGAGTCTGTTTATTTGCAATAACTTTACATCATTACAGATAATATATCTGGCTTATGACACAAAACCATTTTATATTTCTTTCCCTTCATAGAACAATGCAATTAAATCTCATTTTCTATTATTAAAGGAAATGAAACTACTGGCCGGGTATATATATTCGTAATTTTTAGTCCCAACATCAACTAATGAGCAAAGTATACATGGTTTGACCCCACTTTTCCCATATTATGTCACTTTGTCTTCAATACAAGACTACACCAGTCAATACAAAACTTCGAAAGGTTACGTCAGTCTCTCTAAGTAGGCCTCATATCCGGCCTTCGATACAGTTCAGCTTCCGTTATTCCACGTCCGACAATTATAACGTCAGTTTTGTTCACATATATTACATCCCTTGGTGTAACGTACAGCTGACCTAAGGAATCTGCCCCTTCTCCTAACTTAACGCCTAAAATAAATTTAGAAAAAAATCTATATCAAATTGATAACCAGGATTTATTTTTAAAATGGATACATTAGTAACACTGATTGCAAATCATGGGATAAAATTGATCATTCAGACTAATTCAGCTAAAATCACAGTCTTTGGGATGAAATTTAAAAAGCTGAAGATATTGTGCTCATTGCCGTGTATTTTCCTTATTTGCGCTCTTTTCCTTTGATATAGGCACGCACACTCGGCTAAATAGGTTTATACTTGATACAAGTTCATACTTCAGGTATAGGACTTAAATTGAGGATAGGAAGTAGCATGCTCAAGGTCAGATATTATTGGTATTAATCTACAATGTATATAACAAGAGCTGTCTGTATAACAAGCAAGCTCCATTTTTCTCAGTGATTGACAGTAAAACAAGGGGGGGGGGCATACCTTTGTGAAAAGGTAACTCGGAGTTAAGGGACCTGTGCTCATCATGTAAGATCACGGAGAACAAGTGTGTTATGTTTCAACATATTCCGATCAAATATTTTAGAGGTTTAAACATACACACAAAAACTTCACAAATGTGCGACACCTACATCACAATAGCACTCCCTGTAAAATAAGACAGTTTTCTACCAAATGTTTAATATACATACCTGGGGTCATATGTATAAACACTGGTCGTGGATCATCAATAAGTTTATTCTGGCATATAAAACCTATCACAAAGTCTAAATTTTCTTTGGCAATTTCGACAGTTGCTGAAAAATATTATACGTTTTGAATGGCACAGCTTTCAATCTAGGTGTCAAGGACATATTTTATTGCGTAGAAACTAAAAAAGATCATGATAATATATTTAAAGAGTACACAAAGCTTTATGAAATGAGGTCTGACTGGCAACAATAGGACATCACCTTCTCCTGACTTTTCAAACAGCCAATCATTGACAAGCTTTATCAATTTTACTGAGTAGGTAATTTTCATGATTTAAAGAGCAGACATGGCTCTTTCCATATAGCAGGCAGGTAAATAGGAAAAACAATTTTGCTAATCAAAAACTGAATCTATTATTTCCAATCTATTTGTTTCAAAGTACTTCAAGCAATTTTATTTTTTAACAAAAAAAAAAATGTTTTCCTTTTGCCTTATCTGTAAAAGACAGTTTGATCCCATGGCTTTCCTGGGAAATCTGATTTAAAAAATCAATTATTGGTCAATTACCATTTTAATAGTCATTCTTTTGAAATATACATAGTTAATTCAGCTAACAACTTGACAGCAAAGAAATAAAGCATATGTTACCATATGCTAGTTATTTATATTTATACAAAGTCATAAAACCTCAAATAATCTACTGATTGATAACGATGTTTCTCATTTATTATCTCCCTTTTTACAATTTCAACACGTGATTAAAGCATTTTTTTTTCGAAATTCTAAACTTTCACATAAATAACTGTTATTTTCATACTAGATGACGTCACTACGCGGTTTTACAAACACTATGAAAAATAGAAGGCGACTATGAACGGATTTCGATATAGTATCAACTTTTCTCTTCTATGAAAATTAACACACATAATTTATAAGAAATAGAGCGTTTTCATTGGATGACAAGTTTGGTTTAAAAAAATGGCGAGCACTAAATAAAGCTTGACACTAAAATACTTGAACGCCGACAACAAAAATTTAACGTCTAAAACAGCTACATCAGCCCCTACGTCACTCATTTTCATTATTTTGTCTTATAAGCGTCTAAATATTAATCTTTACCTTTCTGTGTCACTTATATATAAATATTTAAATGATATAAACAGTACAGTAATATTCTTGTTTTGATGTTGCTATTTAATGTATCTTTGTTTACTGAATGCCAGTTATGATGACCCCACAACGAACTTTTACACTGAGCTGTAATCAACAATAACAACAGTAAAACAATTTCATGTATAAGTAATGTATTCTCTATAAAAGTTAAGTTCATCCAAAAATAAATAAAGTTAATAAAATTTGTATGATCAATCAATTGTGTGTATTTGTAATAAAGAAGAAATAAAACTACAAATGTATTTGTTTATCTAATGCAGTCAGCCGATCAATAATACTTAAGTTTTTTTTACCGCAACATAAATTAGGATGTCATCATTATTAATTATACAGTAATTAATCAACTCGCTGATATCTTAACTATGGTATATAATACTAATTAGATAGTGTTTCATACTAATTAGATTTTAACAGTGGCGGCGTGGTTTAGTGGTTAACACATATGCCTGTTAATTTAAGGACTGTCGGACGCGTGGGTTCAAAACCCGTAAGGGGTATAAAACTTGCTTCTAGATTCTACTGCTTTGAACACACAAACAGTAAACATCTCTGTACAAAACAGTAGAAGTGTAGACAAGAATTTCAACGAAAGAACTTCAAAGTATTTGTTGTTGTTGTTGTTTTTTAATGCTACTTTTAGATCAAGTGTATTAAAGACATTAATACACGTCAGAGTAGGGCCGGAAGGTGATAATCGGCCATGAAATGAATAATGCCCTCGGGCTGAAGCCCTCGGGGCCATTACTCATTTTGCGGGCCGATTATCACCTTCCGGCCCTACTCTGCCGTGTATTAATCTCTTATTAATATATTCAAAGAAATAACTCCCCTAGATAAGAATATACCAAAATCTAATCAAATAAATACATATATTTACCCATGCATATGTTTATGCCACATAGTGTTCCGACTTTCTCTTTCTTTATATAACTAACCCCTGTTTTATATGATTGTTCTGATTTACACTTGTTTGGTTATGTTCTTGCTTACCCTTGTTTGATATTTTTAGCTTACTGTAGTTTGATATTTTCTTGCTTACTGTTGTTGATATGGTCTGGGTTACTTTTGCTTGTGATATATTTTGGCTAATCCTATTTTGATTGATCTGTTCTACTAGAAAAGACAAAGAAAAAAGGATTTCTTATACTCTGTTTCATTTGTAGATACAATATAAAAATAATTGTCAATCAAGATTTATCAAATCACGGGTATTTCACCTATATGTGTTACACTTCTTTAAGAGGTGATTGATTACCACCGTTCAAAACATCTGCATATGTTTCTGACTTAAATATTTCACCACTTTCATGTTTAAATGTTGCATTCTGCTAAAGCAGGTGCTAGGGAGCGTGAACGGCAGCTTGTATTTTCCAGTACCTTCCATGAAGAGGCTCTGTTAAACCGAGCCTGCAACATTTCAGTTTTGCCGTTTTGGGCGTTCTTAAGGGATTATAATTTACAAAAATAGAAAAAAAATACTATCGCCATTTAATATCGCATCATCGTCATGTCTACGGCATTAAACGAAGTATGCTACAGCTTTTATGGACATAAAGACGGTATGAAAACTGTAGAATCTTATAATCTGATAATAGACATTTTGAAAGTTTGGGTCACCAATCACATTGATAACTTGTCTTCCCTGGTATTTGATCTTATTTTCCCCCTTTCTTATTAGTTTAGACTATTTTCAAACTTTCTGCTATAAGTGTCCGTTTTCATTTTTATTTTTTGTCAAAGTACACATATTCATTTAATTTTATTCTATTTATTTACCTAATTTTGAACTGTTTTGATAATATTACTTTACAACAATGTTTATCAAGTCTGACCACAAACATAGAAGTGTTGAACTTTATCCTTTACTGAACTCTGACATTCATATATCTTGCTGTATGGTTAACCCTAATCTGTGATAAATGTTTATTGTTTGGAACATTCCATATACATTTTTGTTCATAAAGTATATCATTCTTAGAGCGGTTTTTCAGACATTTTTACATTACTATATGATTATGATAAGTTAGACTATTGAAATATAAAAGAACAAGGCTATTTGCGTATTTTATTAATTATAGTAGGTATTAATGTAAAGCATTATAAAAGATACAAAAAAATTAAAATATACAATAGTAAAATATACAAACAGTTTAAAATGGAGATAAAATCATTTGAAATTTCAACAATAAAAATTCATAATAAAGATTATTAGTAAGAAATTCCATTCATATAACGAATGTATTATAAACGTACACGGATAATACTCGTGGATATACGTAATTATTCCCATGGAATATACATATAGTAATATATGTCAAATATATTTGAGCCGCGTCACGACAAAACCAACATAATGGGTTTGCGAACAACATGGATCCAGAACAGCCTGCGCTTCCGCTCAGTCTGATATAAATATTTAATATAAATAATAACAAATCTGACATATAAGTATCAGATTCAAACATAAGCTTATTTTTTCAAATGTTTTTCTTTGACAGTCAGCTTCAGTTATTCAATTTATTCATTATCACAAATTATTATAATAATTTAATTCTGGTTATTTTAATCAACTTAACACCATTCAAGATGCCGGTGATTAATTTAATTGTAACTTACATATTATAGCTCTATGTACGATTACAGATGCATACATGAAGCAGGTGATTTTTTTAAAGTTAGTACTAAAGATAGTAAAATCAAATACATATCCAGAAAACGTTATTAGTTCATACGAAATAATCAATGTCATGCATTCTTTATTGACTTTCAACACAATTAACATGCATAAGGTGGTAAACAATTCAATAGTTACTCTTAAATATAATTTGAAAAAAGTGTAAATTGTACAAAAATTACATTTGCATGTTACAAATGGTATATCAAATAATGATATTTCACAAAAGATAACACTGATTTTAATATAATGAAACAATGTTTAAGATTGCTCATCTCTTTTCCATGTTCTTTTACACATTACATTTTTAGTATACTTGATGTAATATAGTATTTTTCTCAATTGTTTCAAGATAAAATTTCTTATTCAATTTCGAATACTGCGAACACGGTCGTCGTTTTTTCCCCACTGTTGTCGTTTATAATGATCCAAACAGGTTCATATTTAAAGTATATTTTGACGTCGTTGTAAAAGCTACAAAAATGTTGATTTTTTGGGGGAATTTATTATTGTCGTCGCTGTCAAAGCTACAAACACGTTGACATTTTCTAGGATTTTATTGTCGTCGCTGTCAAAGTTACAAATACGTTGGCATATTCTAAGACTTTTTATTGTCGTCGCTGTCAAAGCTACAAATACTTTGACATTTTCTGTGATTTTTTGTCGCCGCTGTCAAAGCTACAAACACGTTGACATTTTTTAGAATTGTTTATTGTCGCCGCTGTCAAAGCTACAAACACGTAAAGATTTTCTAGGATTTTATTGTCGTCGCTGTCAAAATTACAAACACGTAAAGATTTTCTAGGATTTTATTGTCGTCGCTGTCAAAATTACAAACACGTTGGCATTTTCTAAGATTTTTTATTGTCGTCTCTGCCAAAGTTACAAACGCTTTGACATTTTCTATGATTTTTTGTCGTCGCTGTCAAAGCTACAAATACGTATACATTTTCTAGGATTTTTTTATTGTCGTCTCTGTCAAAATTACCAACACGTTGGCATTTTCTTAGATTTATGTCGTCGCTGTCAAAGTTACAAATACACAAACACGTAGACATTTTCTAAGATTTTTTATTGTCGTCGCTGTCAAAGTTACAAATATACAAACACCTAGACATTTTCTTTGATTTCTTGTGGTCGCTGTCAAAGTTTCAAACGCGTTGACATTTTCTTTGATTTTTTGACGTCGCTGTCAAAGTTACAAAAACGTAGACATTTTCTAGTATTTTTTATTGTCACCGCTGTCAAAGCTACAAATACGTTGACATTTTCTGGGACATTTTATTGTCGTCGCTGTTAAAGCTACAAATACATTGACATTTTCTAGTATGTTTTATTGTCGTCGCTGTCAAAGCTACAAATACGTTGACATTTTCTAGTGTTTTTATTGTCGTCGCTGTCAAAGTTACAAACGCGTTGACATTTTCTTTGATTTTTTGTCGTCGCTGTCAAAGTTACAAATACGTAGACATTTTCTAGTATTTTTATTGTCGTCGCTGTCAAAGCTACAAATACGTTGACATTTTCTAGTATTTTTTATTGTCGTCGCTGTCAAAGCTACAAACACGTTGGCACTTTTTAGGATTTTCTATGCTATCAACACTACTTATGCTACTTATATTTGTACGAGAAACTGTGTCACAGCTTGAAATTCTAGACTTTCTTGGCACAAGTTGTGTTTTAATTTTGTTGATATTGCAATTACAGCTCGAACATGAAAACATTTCTTTCAAACTTTTTCTAAATTTCTTTGATAAAAATCCATAAATAAACGGATTGATGCAGTGATTTATTAAGTAAACTAAATGAGAAATGCCTTCAAAATGCAATTTGAAAGTTTTTGAAGGAAATATGTGGTTGCCATCGTTACCGAATGTTCTAATAGAGTTATAAACAAGTTTAGGCAAAGGTAGAACAGTTGCCATGATGATAACTAATGGCACAATCTTTGACATCCGGCGAATTGATCGTCTAGTTGATGCGGTTGTAGACTCTTTTATCGACATTTTCACCCGACACATTTTTAATATATGTAATAAAGTTGTAACTGTCAATGGTATTAAATAAACTGTGATCCACCAAATGATGATAAATTCACTAGACGTTCCTGGAAGAACTATCTTTAATGTTATAAGACCAGCAAGAATTCCCAGTAAACATATCCCGAGACTCCAGACACAAGCTGACATAATAACCACTTTAGTTGGTGTCAGATATATCGATGACTTTATAGGATATATAATAGATAAATACCGTAACACAGCTAGCAATGCTACATGAGAATTCGCCGAGAACCAAATCATTGAATTCATGATATACCATGGTCGACTTTTAATGACAGGTTTCTGACATGTAAATGATAAAATCACTGTCTCAAAAGAGATAATAAGATTTAAAACAAGAAATAACAAATCTGGTACAGCTAGAGCGGCTATACCGATAAATGTCGGATCTCTTAATCTCTTGTCCTTGATAACTCTTACAATAACTAAAGCATTGGCGATGATTCCAATAATAAATCCTATTTCAATAGCATCATATATACACGTTACACCACAGTATCCACAAGGTATTTGTCTATAACTAGGCTTTGTCGCAGTGTCTTTCAAACTAAAGTTCTCTGATGTATTGTTTGTACATAAAAAATCCCCAGAAAAAGTTCTTTCATTAGAATCTGAACACATGCGCGTCTGCATTTTACAATTTCCGTCAAATACCTTATTCCTTCTTTTTATTTTTCTATTTTTTTCTTTAATTCGATTGAAACTTCGTCCCGATCTCTGTCATTAAAAGTTTGTCTTTATTTGTCCTGTACACAAGATTTTATAGTTGTTTCATTTAAAATATTTTTTTCTAAATGTTGTTAGATTTCCGAACATCAATTATAAAACTAGAAAATGAAATCCGGGTTTAAATGTTACAACAATTAAGACGCCAAATTACTTTCGACGGTGAAACGTTGTAAATAATTTCACGTTAACGTTTAAACGTAAGTAAATTTGACCTTGACTCATCACGTTCAATTTATCATTTACGATTTAAGCATATAAAAGATTTATCAATTTGACTACAATAATACAGCTTTACCTCATATCATATCTGTTGACATTTTATGTTTATTTAATTGTAATGCATGAAATTGTCAAAACCAAATATTATGTAAATGAAAGTTGTGCATGTAGATCTACATGTACAAAACAAAAAACTGAAAATATCAATTCTTATCTTCAGTCTAACCTTTATTCTTTATAACATTTATAAGGAGCGATGGCCTAGTGGTTAAGGTGTCTGCCTCTCAACCCAGAGATCATGGGTTCGAGCCCTACTCGGATCACAACCATGTTTCTCCATATGACACCAGAACTGGTTGGTTCCATGAACCGGACTGGAAAGTGATTAATATAAGTTGCAAGAACTTGTTTTGTAATCGAGCTTAAATAAATATGTTTAAACAAAACCAAACTTTATTTTAAATCTTGATTAAAGTTTGTAAAATAAGAGCATGCCTATAGATCTTACTTAACGCTAGAATAAAAATCACTTGTGTTATGTTGTCGTGTGACAGGGATAAAGGAATTATATTCATTGTTTTAAGTCTGAAACAGAGTCCTGGTAGTTCTTATCGATGTACATATATGTATGAGAACGAGTCCTTAAAATCCATATCGATGCACATATTTGCATAAATTGATTTGTATGAGGTAGAGTCCTTAAAATAAATATCGAAGCACATTTTTGTATAAATTGGTATGTATGAAATAGAGTCCTTAAAATCCATATTGATGCTCATATTAGTATAATTTGGTAAATATGAAATAAAGTCCTTAAAATCCATATCGATGCACACATTTGTATAATTTGGTAAATATGAAATAGAAAAATCCATATCGATGCACAAAATTGTATGAATTGGTAAGAATGAAATAGTGTCCTTAAAATTCATATCGAAGCACATATTTGTATAATTTGGTAAATATGAAATAAAGTCCTTAAAATCCATATCGATGCACATATTTGCATAAATTGATTTGTATGAGATAGAGTCCTTAAAATACATATCGAAGCACATATTTGTATAAATTGGTAAATATGAAATAGAGTCCTTAAAATCCATATCGATGCACATATTTGCATAAATTGATTTGTATGAGACAGAGTCCTTAAAATACATATCGAAGCACATATTTGCAAAAATCGGTTTGTATGAAATAGAGTCCTTAAAATCAATATCGATGCCGAAATTGTTTAAAATTGTTAGTATGAAATAGAAAAATCCATATCGATGCTCCTAATTGTATAAATTTGTAAGAATGAAATAGTGTCCTGACAATCCATATCAATGTACATATTTGTATAAATTGGCAAGTATGAAATAGAGATAAAGTCCTTAAAATCCATATCAATTCTCATATTTGTATAAATCGGTAAATATGAAATAGAGTCTTTAAAATCCATATCGAAGCACACATTTGTATAATTTGGTAAGTATGAAATAGAGACCTTAAAATACATGTCGATGCACATATTTGCAATTATTTGTAAGTCTGAAACAGAATCAGTTCTGGAATCTTCATCAGAGTATTGTGTTTTGGGGAATGAGATTTTGCAATAACCAACTACTTTCTGGTTGGTAGTTGGGTATTCACGCGAAAAATCAACTAAGACCCCTGGTCGACGTATGGAGACGAGGTGATGACATGTGGTAGAACTCATCTATCTTGTCATATATATGTTACTTTTATTCTGAAAATTTGTTTTCTGTTTTTAGAGAAATACATGTTATATTCCAAAAGCCAACTACCTTCTGGTTGGTAGTTGGGGATTCACAAAAATTACCAACTGAGTCCTCTGGTCGATTTATGGTGAAGGAATGTTACTATATTTTAGAAAACAAATATCTTGTTATTTAATCGTAACATTTTTTTTTTAGAAAAATACTTCCTGTTTTCAGACGAATACATGCTATATCCGAATAACCAACTACATTTTAGTAAGTAGTTGGTTATTACTGAGTCTCCCGGTGGACATAGGGAGACAGGGTGTTTCAATGTTTTGAGTGGCAGTAGTAGTACATAATTGGGGAATAACCAACTAGGTCCCCTCCTTTATTCTGTGATATAAAATTGATTATGTCTCCGAACATTTCATGCTAGTAATAGTGGATTGAATTACCAACTACCAGCTGTTAAATAGTGGGGAAATACGAATAACCAACTACCAGCAAGTTGGTAGTTTGTAATTCGAATATCCAACTACCAATTTCCTAACAAATTGACGTGCATATAATTATGTTGTTGAGAAAGTGGGGTAGTTTTTGTAATGCAATGTGGGGAATGAGTCTTTGCAATATGATGTAGGGAATGAGGAGTGGTTTGCAACGTGGGGGGAGTGAGGGGTTGTTTTATGATGTGGAGATTGGGGGGAGTCGTATAAAAGTGACAAGACAACAAAGGTAAGATACATACGGGAAGAAATATAAGATACATGTATATTCGAGTATTTAGAAATAAGCTTTTACTCAAATGACGGATATTTCAGCTGTAGAATCAAATGTTGCTTAAACTTAATAAGTGATAATGAATAACTTTAACTTTAAGAGGTTAAAGAGAACAAGAGTAAAATTTTGCAATTTCCGTGTAGAGTTGCGTAATACCGTGAAATATAGGGGAATAACCTTACCATCATTACTTTACAAATGAGAGCAACGTCATACGCCTTAAAAAAAACTTGCCACATTGCCCTTATATCCCGTTTATATTTGTACATGGACTAAGAAAATTCACTAGTAGTTGGGGTTAAATGCACAAAATAAACCGTTAAGTTATCAAAAATATTAAATAACTCTGAGATTAAGATAATTTGTAATAAATCAGTAAAAGACACAATACAGAGATATTTCAACTATTCATATGTTAAATGATGATGTTTAATATTGTTTGTCAGCAAATATAATTAAGTAAGATATCTTGTTGTTTAGTGGTGTAACGTTTTTCATATTTCAATGTCATACAAAAATTGGATGCGTGTATTCTACTGAATTCTCATTTATCCAGCTGTATGATTAATATATGAGCCGCGTCACGACAAAACCAACATAATAGATTTGCGACCAGCATGGATCCAGACCAGCCTGCGCATCCACGCAGTCTGATCAGGATCCATGTTGTTCGCTATCAGTTTCTCTACTTATTATAGAGTTTGTAAGCGAACAGCATGGATCCTGATCAGACTGCACGAATGCGCAGGCTGGTCTGGATCCATGCTGTCGCAAACCCATTATGTTTGTTTTGTCATGGCGCTGCTCAAATAGTAATAGTAAACGCTTGATAAACTCAGATACTATTTTATTTCCTTGTCCAGAAACAAAAACGTAAAAAATACTTGTAAAATATCATATTTTTAATATGTGTGAATGAGGATCTTGACAATACAAAATACTAAGCCAACTTGTGTGAAATACTAAGTCAACCCTAGATTATGTAAAACACTAAGTTAATTTATGTGAAATACCAACAAAGATTGTATATGTTTTGAAATATTTTACAATGTCAATGTATCACAAATAGTTGTCAGATAATTGCGTGGATAATGTCATATATTCTTGCAATTTATTTTCGGTAAGGCCGATATATTTATGTTATAACCATTACAAACGAATTAAATATGCATCAATTATATTCTATGTTTCTTGTCTTAGAATGTGGCAAGAATCGTGGATATATTCAGTACATGTATGTATATAACCTATTATTTGATGAATGTATATAATTTCACATAGGTTTAAAACTTTAAACATTTATCAAATATATATGTTTTGGATTACATTTATATCAAATGATAACTATACATATATATGTAAGTTAAACACAACATTAATGTATTTATACTTGAAGAGTTTGTCGTTATGATCTTCTCCGATATTATCATCATGCTATGTTATGTATTTCATATGTATATGCACTGTTCGTTGTCTAGTATTATGCTGTTATCATGTCATCGTGGGCTTTTAAGCCTAATATGATTGAAATAAAACTATCTATCTATATTTTTTCCTAAAAAAAAAGGTAAATGTACTGTTAGATGTATTGTACATGTGTATCTTATACAACATAACATTCACGTTCTTATGTTAATATCTAGACACTGTGTCTTCTGTATGATACAACATCTAAAACTCAATATTTATCGTTGCACTAAAGTTTCTTTGTAAAAAAAAAAAATGTCCGGATTTTTTTTGATAGTTCAATAAGTGAACGTTGTAAACCAGAGGATGATTCCGTGTTATTAATATGTAAAGAATGTCTAAACAAATTGTAATTAGATTAAGAAGATAAATCATTATTAGTAAAAACTCAATTAATATTGTTAGCATATCAATTTTATTATTAAATGAGCCGCGTCACGACAAAATCAACTGAACATAGTGCATTTGCGACCAGCATGGATCCAGATCAGCCTGCGCATCCGCGAAGTCTGATCAGGATCCATGCTGTTCGCTTACCAACCCTATTACAAGTAGAGAAACTGATAGCGAACAGCATGGATCCTGATCAGACTGTACTGGTCTGGATCCATGCTGGTCGCAAACCCATTATGTTAGATTTGTCGTGACGCGGCTCAAATGTTTATTTATCGCTTGTACATTATATGAATATCAAGATTTTAAAGTTCAGTGCTCTTTAACGACATACAAACTACAATGACATGACAAAACGTTAAGATAATTATCATGTTTATTTATCATGTCTATTTATCATGTTTATTTATCATGATTTTGTTACATAATATAGACGTTATATAACATGTACGTCGCGTGAGGTCATTCGTTTATAGCCATTGATAGAGTGCTTACAGTTGTTTCAATTTGTCAATCATCGTTTCTTGATTTCATCAAACATGTTATTAGTCATTGTCTTAATGTACATGTACAATTATACCTCGTTCACATTATACATGTACAATTATACCTCGTTCACATTATACATATACAACTATACCTCGTTCACATTATACATGTACAACTATACCTCGTTCACATTATACATGTACAACTATACCTCGTTCACA